CTGAAGACTGTGAAAAATAAATAGTAGCAGGCAAACTGTGGAAGAAACCAGAATCTGAAGGGTAACTAATCTGTAGGACAACCAATTCAGTGGCACATTTCCTAATGTTTTTTTATGTCCCCAAACTCCCAGCTCAAATTCAAAGGAAATCCAAATCCTGGAACAGCAGAGCAGGGATGGAAAGAAAGATGCAAGACAAGTCTCTACCTGGTTAGGCAGGATGAATGGAGTGAGGGCGGCTCCATATGGGACTGACGGAAAATTCCTTGGCTTTTTTTTTTTTTTTAACCTTTTGCTTCCAGCTCTTCCGCACCACCCCCAACCCCCAAAACCTATTTCACTATTGGCTGCTTTCTCTCTGAGGGATGGGACCAGAACAGTGCTATAAGGAGTATGACAGAACTGAAAGGAGAAATAGATAAAATAGATAAATCCACACTTAGAGTTTGAGATTTCAATATTCCTTTCCTAATATGTGAAAGAATGAGCAGACAGAAAATCATCAAAAGTAGAGAAGACTTGAACAACACTATTAATCAACTTGACCAGACTGATATTTATAGAACCTTCCACCCCAAAAGAATATAATACACCCTTTTTAAGTGCATACTGAACATAAGATAGATCATTTCCAGGAGCATAAAACAAGTTTCAATAAAAAGTAATTCAATTCAAAGAGTGTGTTCTTTGACAACAATGAAATTAAATTAGAAATCAATATAAGTGGGCAGCGTGGGTGGCTCAGTGGTTGGGAGTCTGCCTTCAGCCCAGGGCGTGATCCTGGAGTCCCAGGATCGAGTTCCACACTGGGCTCCCTGCATGGAGCCTGCTTCTCTCTCTGCCTGTATCTCTGCCTCTCCCTCTCTCTCTGTCTCTCACGAATAAATAAAATCTTTAAAAAAGAAAAATGGAATGAAAGAGGAGACATCACTGAAGATTCTACCCATTTTTAAAAGTTACTCAAGGATAATTGAAAAAAAAAAGGATAATTTAAATAGTCATATTCTATTCAAGAAATTTAATTTGTATCCTAAAACTTTCCCATAAAGACAATTCCAGGCCCAGATGGCTTCCCTGAGAAATTCTATCAAACATTTAAGGATGAGATAACACCAGTTCTACACAAAATATTCTAGGAAAATTGAAGAAATACTTCTCGGGGCAGCCCGGTGGCTCAGCGGTTTGGCGCCACCTTCAGCCCAGGGCCTGATCCTGGAGACCTGGGATCGAGTCCCGTGTCGGGCTCCCTGTATGGAGGGAGCCTGCTTCTCCCTCTGCTTCTCCCTCTGCCTGTGTCTCTGCTTCTCTCTCTCTCTCTCTCTCTCTCTCTCTCTCTCTCTCTCTCTCTGTGTGTGTGTGTCTCTCATGAATAAATAAAATCTTTAAAAAAAAATACTTCTCAACTTTCAGCTGGTTCTAGGAGGCCAGCATTACTCAAATACCAAAATCAGATAAAGGCATTGTGCGGCAAGAAAACTAAAGGTCAATATCCCACTTGACCATAGATACAAAAATAATAAAAATTGCTTAAGCAAATCAAATCCATCAACTGCACAAAAAGAGGCCACATACACCTGATTTGCTCACTGGGCTCTAGAGTACTGTTTCCCAACTATAATGGCCCAAATCAAATACTGGAAATATTTATACCACACTGGAGTAAAGTGATAAGACGGGCATGGACATCAGCTACCCCAGACCCTGCCCCAAGGACTGAGCACTTATTCTAAAGAATATCTCCTTTCCTACACATTATTTGTTTTCCCCTGAATTTAGAACTGTTTTTTACTTATTATTTCATGTATTTGTCACCAACCCTAAACTTTTTGCCAATTGTTTAAATTTTTTCTGAAGATAATTAAACGCATCAGGTTTCTATCAATCTCATTTTCATTGAGACAACTCTTCCGGAGGTTTCTAACCTAAATCCAATCTGGTTTGATTGCCTCCCCCACCCCCACCTCTCATAGTTATCCTAAAGATTTCTTTACTTTTCTCCTTTGTTGAATTTCCTATTTCCTACAACTCATTTCTCATTTTTGATGGATCATAGCCTACATATTCCTAAGAAAGGGTACAAGGCAGCAAAACAAAACAAACAAGCAAAACCTTATATGTCTTAAAAGACTGTATTAGTTTCTTTTATTTAAGGATGTTAATAATGGTTCCATTATTTTTCTCTGCAAAATTTCTATTCTCTCCAAGTTGCTTTATTCTATTTATTTTAATCTCTATCTTTATACAATAGAGGGTTTCCTCAAATATCTAAAGTAACCCTTGGTTAGTTGCTAATATTTAGAAGAAGAGAACTAGAGACTGAGAGCTTTGATACATAGAGTTATCTAGCTGGGCTGTTTTTTTTAAGGAATCTCTGATGGTTACATTTTGTGTCTTTCTTTTCAGTCAGATTTTTCAGAAAAGACTCTGCCAACCTCCTGCCTGAAATATGAAGGCCTAACTGCCAATATTCTAGTGTCAGTAGGATAAAGACAACTGGAATCCAATTGTCTTATTTTCAGTATAGGACTGCCCTCAACTATGCCTGGTAGATGTCTCCCAGTCTAGAATCTCTATTTTATTCCAAAGAATAAGTTGCTGGGTTTTGCCAAGGTTTAGAGTGGCGAGTTGGGCACTTGCCCACCTGACTAATTTTGAGGAAGAGGTCTCAGGAATCAAGTGCTTCTTCAACTGACTTTCAGCCAATCTTCCTTTCATCTCCATTTCCATATGCTACCATTCTTGAGGTTTTTTTTGTGGCTTCTGGAGGGTAAATCAGGTTGTTTTCTTGATTTCCTCTGCTATTGAGCTTAGGGTTCAGTTTTTAATTATTTATATACTCTCCAGTTTCTAAAATTGTGTTGATGTTGGCTTTTCACCAATCCCCTTTTACTGATCTTTTAGCAGGTTTCTGGAAGGAGCAAAAGCACAAGTCTGTGTTTATCCCATCTCTTTACTCCTTTAGTACAGATGCTCATTCAGCTCAATATAGATGGCTTTCTATTTATTTCTGTCTTTTGAGTAAAGAGATACTACAAACAAAATCTCCGAGAAGGTAAGAAACACGTTTTAACTATTAGTTAACTCTGATGATGATTCAATTCCCAGTAATTTCTAATTGAGATCAGGTAGCTGTGTTCAAGGTCATGGAGATCACTGATTTTGATGTTATTAAGTTCAGCTTTTGTTATTAAAACTCAACTACACTTATTGATTTGAAAAATATTTTAACTGACACAGCCCAGGGGCCATATGATAAAAGAATAATTGCCCACATCTCTATGACACTTAATATAAATGATGATATTTAATAAAAATTAGTATAATTTTTCTATTAATTTCTACTAATATTATTTTTAAGGTCTCTCATACGTGAGCTTATTTTCTTTCTTTCCCCGCCCCCAGGTTTATTGAGATATAACTGACACAACATTATGAAAGTTTAAGCTTGACTTGATATATACTAGAATTCATTTTAAGTTCTTTTTTCATATAAAAAAAATGCTTAAGGAGAAAAATCAGACAAATTCCTGAATATAATACCATGCACATTATTTAAAAATGAGTAAGTACTAGTAAAAGTTAAAATTTCCAACCTGCATATATTATTACTCTTTTCATTCTCCAACAACTTTATAAATATAGCACAACTCTAAAACTTGGGAAGAGCAAACTTGGAGAAAAAAGGTAATAGGATTATGGGATAAATGAACCAGGAACTTTTACAGGATTAAAATCAAAACTTTCTTTTATTTATAAGTAAAGATTCTCTAAAAATCATAAATCAGTTAAAATGACTGCCTGAAATTTTGTAATATATTCATCACTTTGGGTTCTCAATTCACTTTCTCTCAGAGATCATTTCATTCATTCAGCAATATTTATTTAGTAACTCCTATATGCCTGGTACTTATTCTTGGCAGTGGAAATATAATAATGAACAAAACAGACAAAAATCTCTACAATTATGAAACATGATTGTAAATAAAATAAATACAAAGATGATAAGTACTACGAAGAAAAAGGAATGTGGGGGAACTAGTCATACAATTTTAAATAAGATAATTAGGGAAGGCCTATTTCACTAATACAGGATGTTTTTACCTAGTTTGAAAGTTATTTCAAAAAAACAGTTGCAAGCACATATTAAATTTCAAACAGAAGGAAAAAATAAGATCCTAACTGAAGATACCAATATAAACAAAAATAATTTCTTCTGAGAGAGCTAAGACAACAAACATTGTATTGATGAAATTTTTAAAAGCCAGTGTGCTGATATGAATGTTACTGTTAAAAATTTACTTTTGGGGGATCCCTGGGTGGCGCAGCGGTTTGGCGCCTGCCTTTGGCCCAGGGCGCGATCCTGGAGACCCGGGATCGAATCCCACATCGGGCTCCCGGTGCATGGAGCCTGCTTCTCCCTCTGCCTGTGTCTCTGCCTCTCTCTCTCTCTCTCTCTGTGACTATCATAAATAAATAAAAATTAAAAAAAATTTACTTTTGGTTATATTCCAAAAGTGATATCCAAATATATATCACAATGCTCCAAAATTACTTTAAACCTTATTAAGGTATTACCATTTAAAAAATGACATGAGAAAAATTTTCATTTTATCTTAAATAAATGATATCCTATAACTTTTAGAACGCTACACTTAAAGCCCTAAAGGAGAAACTAGAATATCTAAACTAGACCCAGGGAAAATCTCAAACTTCAGATTAAGTACTAGAAAGGAATAGCTGATATCTTTTCTTTTTAATCTAATAATAAATTTAACGAGGGATCCCTGGGTGGCGCAGCAGTTTAGCGCCTGCCTTTGGCCCAGGGCGCGATCCTGGAGACCCGGGATCGAATCCCACGTCGGGCTCCCGGTGCATGGAGCCTGCTTCTCCCTCTGCCTGTGTCTCTGCCTCTCTGTGTGTGTGTGTGTGACTATCATAAATAAATAAAAATTAAAAAAAAAGAAAAAATAATAATAATAATAAATTTAACGAAAACTTACCTTGCCCAGAGCGGCTTTGGCGAGAGTCTACACTTGACTGTCTTCGATCTGGTGGTTCCTCGCTCCCTCCATCTGTATAAAAGTAGAAAGGGCATAAGCAAATAGATCATGGAATTGATGTAGTATCTCCTATGGTACTATCTGTATCTTAAAACTACAATACCTAGGGGTGCCTGGGTGGCTCAGTCGGTTATGCGTCCAACTCTTGATTTTGGCTGAGGTCATGATCTCAGGGTTCTGAGATCAAACCTTGCACCAGGTTCTGCACTCAGTGAGGAGTCCTGCTTGGATTTTTCTCCCTTTTCTGCCCTCCCCCACCTGGCACAAGCTCTGCCCTCCTCTCTAAAATAAATTTTAAAAATTTTAAGATTTTTATTTATTTATTTATTTATTTATTTATTTATTTATTCATTCATTCATTCATTCATTCATTTATTTATTTATTTATTTATGATAGACACACAGAAAGAGAAAGGCAGAGACACAGGCAGAGAGAAAAGCAGGCTCCATGCAGGGAGCCTGATGTGGGACTTGATTCTGGAACTCCAAGATCACACCTTGGGCTGAAGGCAGGTGCTTAACCACTGAGCCACCCAGGCATCCCTAAAATAAATACATTTTTTTTAAAAAAACTATATTTATCATTTGTTTTCATTTCTTATGATCTTAATCATTAAAATATTTGAGGATTTTTTCCTATATAAATCAGAAGTTCTTATCCATATTATTGTGAGGACAGTTTACACTCTTCTCTGGAAGCGTAGAGAAAGTCAAGGTGTTCTTTTTCCCTACCCCCAAACATATACACTCTACTTCACATGTAATGAATAATGTTTTCAACTCTGAAGTTCACTCATGGATTCCAGTATAGAAGCCTTGATTTAAAGATTTACAGCAATGTCTAAATTAATTACAGCTGTTTATTTGTTTAAAGTAGGTCAAGTAATCCCCCAGGCTGTATGTTTTACTAATAAAAACTACATTTATATGTCTCATGAGAGATAATAAGAAAATTATATAATACATGAAAGAGCAATATAAATCAGAATCAGAAAAACTCAGAAATGAGGAGACAGAAACCAAGAAAAAACTAGAAATAAAACAATCATTTCAGTTCTGAAGACAGCTTAGAAAACAAGTGTAAATAAACATAACAAGAGATCTTAAAAGAAACAGAAAATTGGGGCATCCAGCTGGCCCAGTTGGTTGAGTGCTGACTCTTGATTTCAGCTCAGGTCATGATATCACAATTTTGAGACTGAGCCCCAGGTCGGGCTCTGCCCTTCGCACAGTCTGCTTAAGATGCTCTCTCTCCCTTTCCTTCTGCCCACTCCACTGCCCCACTCATGATCTCTAAATAAATGAATAGATAAAATCTTTAAAAAAAAAAAGAAAGGAAAAAAATCTTTAACAAATTTTAAAGAGAGAAATTAAAAAGGATTTTCAAGAAGGTGACAAATATCAAAGACAGGTGAAGAAGATTTGGCATATGAAAGAAAATAAGGGGATAAAAAGAAGTTCCTGAAGGAGAAAACCAAAATGACAGAACAAAACAAATATTAAAAACTGTAATACAAGGAGTGCCTGGGTGGCTCAGTTGGTTAAGAGCCTGCTTTCAGCTCAGCTCATGATCCCAAGGTCCTGGGTTCAAGCCTAACATCGGGCTCTCTGCACAGTGGAGAGTTGGCTTCAACCTCTCCCTCTGCCTGCTGCTCCCCCTGCTTGTGTGCTCACTCTTGCTCTCTCTCTCTCTCTCTCCCTGTCAAATAAATAACTTAAAAAATCTATAATACAAGAAAGCTTTCCAGAAAAAAAATGTGTATACGTATGTATGATATAGTTATATATGTGTGTAAATACATATATACATTCTCACACATACATGTATCTACAGTATATTTGAAACTACATATTGCAAGAGTATCTTGTGTACTTGAGATAATCAACTTAGAGCAATGCACCAAGACGTTTTTTACTAAAATTATTGGACTTTAAAGAAAAAACAAATCCTTTGGCCATTTAGGTAAAAGCATCACATGATTTATAAGAGAAAATAACAGAAAAAAATGAAATAGTATATTTAAAATACACAAAGAAAACTTGAGCCAAAGATTTTATATCCAGTAAAATTTACCTTTCAGTATAAAGAGCAAAGACAAACTGCTATCAACATGCAAAAACTCAGAAGATACTGTTCCTGTGAGCTCCTCCTAGCTCTACTAGACAACTAGCTACAGGGCAATCAAAGTGACAGGAGAGACATCAAAATAAGGGCAGGTAGTGAGCATTAAACATACAGTTGATCATAGAATTAAGACTAAAAGAATAAACAGTTTGTAAAGAGAGAGATTACAGAATATAAAGGCTATAAAGTCTGACAATGTAGACGCAGGACAATCATTTAAAAAAATGGGAGGAGACTGAAGAAGCATTAAAAAAAACAACAAAAAATTAACTGATTTCAGTAAACAAAATTGGTGGCAATGATGTTCTGAAGCCATTGTCTTTATAAAGAGGGATAAAGCAAATGATTAATTATGGGATACTCTAATGTTCGGGTTTTTTAAATGTTAAAAAAAAAAAAAAAAGCTGGTTTAGCAAAGGAAATGTATTAGGTGAACCTGGACTATCCTGACAAATTTAGTTGCAAGGAAGCTATGAAAGACAATAGACAAATAGGGTCATACCAAAAAGACTCAGTGAAGAAGCACTCACTGGTCATGAGATCACAATGATATTTAAAAACAACACTACACTAACCGGTCACTTTCTAAGGATAACAGGAACCCAGTTTGTTATTTTGAAATCTGGGAAAAAGGAAAGAATTAAGCAATTTGTCCTACATTTCCACCATAAACTATACTGGTAGCCAAAGAGTATATAACAGAGATCTTCTATAAAATCATTCCAGACAATAAATGGGAAATAAAAGAAAAAAATCAGAATATCACCATTTCACAATGAATTAATAGCTCCAGAGGCACGGGGTACCAATGACTAATAACCAAAAAAAAAAAAAAGAGTAAATAAAACCCAGACATTACATACCTCTTGATGATAGGAGCATAACAACTACAGTTTTCAATCAAACTTAAGTCTAGTCAAACCTCTGAATGTAGCTGTCACTACTTTTCAAGAAAAATGAAGGACAGAGGAAAATGTTGAATTGTTTCTGAGCGCACAATCAATAAAAATTAGACTGTGGAAATTTTTACAGGTCAAATAACCTAGGTCTTTCAACAGAGTAAAAAAAAAGTATTATGTAGTCCTAAATTATTGTGTAATAAACATTCATTTTATCAAAATACAAAACTGTACCAGAAATCTGTGGCATCTTAAATCAGGATGTATGAATACACTACTAGTCACTTTTCCTTCCTAGTAATTATTTAATTTTTAAATGCAAGTATCTTTCTTTTCCTTTACTTGGAAATCAATTACAATGAGCAACATTCATATTTAGGCAGGTCTTAAATTTTCATTATTTTGATTTTTTCTATGTGGGTAAAATTTTATACATATAATTTGTTTTAACATCAAAACATGCTCAAAGTATGAGAGAAAGTAATATGAATAAAACACAGACATTTCCTCTTATCAGCACTGTCTTCCTTTTTTTTTGTTGTTGTTGTTGTATTTATCTATTCATGAGAGACAGAGAGAGAGAGGTAGAGACATATGCAGAGGGAGAAGAAGGCTCTCTTTAGGGAGCCTGATGCAGGACTCTGATCCTGATCACTGGACTCCAGGATCAAGACCTGAGCCAAAGGCAGATGCTCAACCATTGAGCCACCCAGGTGCCCCAGCACTGTCTTCCTAAACAATTAGAGGCAAAAAATAAATAAAACTTAGGCTTCAAATAGTATTAAATCTGCATGATCTGTGGAATGTCAGGGTATCAATAAAACAATTCACAGGAGAAATATAGCAAGAAATGGTTTAAGACATAGTTTTGAGTGAGCACGCCAGTGGAAAACAAGACCAAAAAAAATCACCAATTTGATGCCATCATAATCTAAAATGTTTTAACTGCCTAAATTTTCAAAATTAAGTGATTTGAGCAATTCACTCCCCTAAGACTGAAACCCTATAACCAACAGTGTCTTACTCCAGTGGAAACTAAGCATAAGAGTTGAGATTAACTCTCAGGTGAAAGTAAACAAAGATTGTTTAAGAAGAAACTCATCTCTTCCCCAACATGATGTAGGAAAATAATTTCAACGTCTTTTAAAAAAAGTGCCTGTGGTATGCTTATGGAACCAAGAATCCATTATCAATATAGCAAGACTACAATGACACAGTACTTTAAATGTTTTTGCTTTGCTTAACACACAATTCCTTCAATACAGAGAAGACCTCCCACACAAGACACTTGTATCTACATTTATGGACAAAACAGAAGACCTTCAGTTGTCAAGCAAATCAAGTTATTTGCATAAGACTGATTACCTCACACCTGAGTGTAGAAGGTAGGACTAGGCTGTGTCTATGAAGTAAGAATTTACTCATCAAATTTGAGTTAAAGACTTACTTCAGATATGAATTTTGCAGAGGAAAACACCCTGATGTAACAGGTACAGAAATAAAAAGACCTGACTCCAACTCAAGTGCTAGCCTTTAAAATCAGAGCTTAATTTTCCTGGTTCTGAGATAGTCAGCAAAGAACATTTGTGTTTTTTTTTTTATCTGCATACTGAGTTAAATCCAGCAAATAATATGCAACAATAAACTTTTAATACTAAGAAACAATAATGGATTTGCTATGCCCATTATTTCAAAGAGGAAAATGCCACTGGAGAATTTATCTCATAGGGTAGATGTCTTTCAAATGAGGTGTATTAAAGCAGCAAAATAGTCCTCCTAAAGAAATACTAACCATATAGGGATATTCAATATGTAGTGATTTCTATGAAGGAACTTTAAAGTTAGAAAAAGTCTAGTAGCAATGCGCCTAAATAATTCCAAGAAAAACTTTTTCTTTCCTGTAAGAAGGGGATACTTTAAATGATTCTTCTTCTCAACCCAGGATCAAAATATTAGAGTTGAAAAATTAGCAATTTAAGTAACCCTGA